GACGTCCTCAGGCCCCGCTATCTCTCCGGAGACCTCGGGGCTCCGGTCGTAGTGGCGCCCTGTGCATGGGTGTAGACGCCGCCGCCCGGCTCCCGCCCGGGACCGGGCGCTGTACTGGGTGACGCCGGCCTGGGCTTCTCGGAAAGCTGTTAGTTTCTGCAGGGCCCCACTTCCCACCTTGGCTCAGCCCGTGGGTGCCTGCGGGGCCCCGGCTCCCTGCTCCGACCGTCCTCCCTCGCTCCGCCCCAGCTGCTGTCGTCGGCAGCGATCGCAAGGTGTTGTCGCTTTCTGCTTCATTGTCTGATTGGTTTTCCCTCACCTGTCCTTGCTAACCCTGTGCAGAGTTGGCAAGTAGTGGGCGAAGGGGCCTCTTCAGCCGGATACTGCGCGTCAGGAACAGGCAGCTGTGTTCTGGAGGTTTTCCCGCTAGCCGGGCACTTAGCGTGTCAGCCAACAAGCAGGCTTTACTTATCTCAGGACCTATCCCGTACCGCCCTCCGTGGCGCCTGACCCTTCCTGTCCTGTAGTTAGTAGCTCGAGTCCGATTCACGCTGTGTTGCACCTTATCCCTTCCTGCCTAGCTAACCATACACGTACTTGCCTAGGTGGAGACTAAGGGAGATTGAACTGAAGCCGACCTTGAAAAGAAGACAGTCTGAAAGCGCCGAGGAGTGGACTGGAAAGAGGGAGACATTTACATCCGTGAGGAGGTTGCGTGGTTTGAAGTAAGGGTTCCCACAAGCTGTGCATGCACCTGCTGCACCTTTCCTCCATATAGGTGGGTACTGTTTTTGTCCCCATTTCTTTGATAAACCAATGGAAGCAATGTGCCTAAGACTGCACAGCTGATACATAGAAGAGCTCAAATGTGGCCGGGGTTGTTAGAATGAATACCTTCATTTTTTAAAACCACTTAGCCCTACCGTGTCCTTTGAAATGAATTTCTAATCGGAAGGCTCTTCTTTCTGTGAAATTTCTCCCAGCTTTCCTTTCTTCTTAGGCACAGTTAATCTGTGCTTTGCGTTTTTCCGAGTTTGTAGTAATGCGTCAGTGCAACTATTAATTTATGTCATTGTCTCCCTAAGAGACCCTAAGCTCACCATGACTGGTACACATCTTAGATCTGGGATCTACTTCGTCACTTGGTAGTAGTCAATACAATTTTACTGAAATATTTTCTGTACAGCAATATGCATACATACACCCTATTAATTCAGCAAATACCTGTAGTGTGTCCAAGGGACAGAAGCATTTTAATTCTACTACTTTCTGGGTGCCTATGGTTTATTAGATGATTTGAAAACAGTGCTACTTTTGCTTGTGATCTTGTAATCTTTTCTCTAGCTCAACACCTCCTGGTTTTCTTCTTGCTCCAAGGAGGGAAATAAAAGAAAACCAACCGTGGACAACAGAAGGCTGGAGCAGAGGACTAGTTGTGTTTTTTCTTTTGTTTTGTTTTTTCCTATACTGGGGATTGAACCCAGGGCTGAAATGGGCCCTGCTGAGTCACTATGTTGCCTACACTGGGCTTGAACTTTCCATCCTCCTGCCTCAACTTTCCAGAATGCCAAGATTTTGGGCTACCATGCTGGACTAATTTAAAATGGTAACAGAATGTTATATTTTTGAAAAGCACCCTGTCCACTTACTCTGCATCTTGATTTTTTAAAAATGGCCAGCCACCTGAGTTAATAAATACAGAAAAATTTCATTATTTTTACTGGTGACAGAGTATTGCTGAATTAATTAATAAGTAATTATATATACCAGGGCAAATGTTTAAGTATATTCATAATGATAATTCTTTAGTATTTCATATTTTTGCCAGTAGTTCATGAGCTACACAAAAGGCAAAATAGCCAGTGCTAGGTGTTAGTGTTTTGTTTTGTTTTGTTTTGTTTTATCCTAGCAGCTGAAAATGGCATTTGGTTGTTTAAGTGACACTTCTGTATCTTCTTTATGAGTTCAATGTTTTTTTTCAAGTTAGCAGCATTTACATTTCTTTTTTAATGACTTGTCATTTATCCATTTAAAATTGGGTTGTCTTTCTCATGTCTTTGCAAAAATTGTTGAGATTTTGTCATGTGTCTTGCAAATATTTTTCTTATTATTGTAATTTAATTTTTGCCTTTTTAGTGATGTATTTTTGATACACAATACTTGGACTTATTAATGTCTTTTGCCTTGTACAAGTTTTAATTTTTAGTGGTTAGCTTTCCATGAATTTTTTGTCAGAAGGTTTTGGTTTTATTACCTTGCTGTTTTTTCTAAGTACTCACTTTTATTGTTCTGAATATTATAGGAAATCTCTAATAGTACTGTTAGTGGTGAATAGTATGTTAAAAAGTTAGCTTTTATTTTGAATTTCAGCTAAAATGCTTAGTACTAGACTGTTTTGTTTTTTCTTAACCACAGTAAGTTGATCATGGCTAAACTTGGTTCTTTTTGTTTGTTTGTTTTTGTTTTTGTTGGTACGGGGGATCGAACTTGGGGCCTTGCGCTTGTGAGGCAGATGGTGGAACCACTGAGCTAAATCTCAGGCCCTAGTCTTGTTTCTTAGTTTCTGGTAGTTTACACTGTTTAGAAGGAGAACTTATTTACACCTTCTCCCAGTGGGAAAGGCTTTGATATTTTCAGATATTTAATGGCAAAATTTGGATTTAACATCACTTAAAAATGCATTTTGGTCTTTTACATACTCTTCACTTAAAAATAAAAACATTTTATAGAAGTCATGTATTTCTTGAGAAAAAGCAGTTTGCTTTATAACATAGTAGCATCTGTATTTTTCAATGGGCTCTTGTAAATCGTATTGTCCTTTTTCAGTATTCAGAATCAACTAATGGCAGACTAATAAAGGACTGAGAAAACCCTGTCCTATATTTAACAGGAGAATTTAACTCAAATTCTCTGTTGTTTTGAATTTATAGTTAAATAAAAGGAGAAGTGGAGACAGTAGGAAAATAAGCCAACAGGGTTATTGCTTTCTGCAGAATTAATCTCGCCCCTTTATGGTTACGGGCTAGGTTGTTTTAATTATTTGTAGCTTCTGAAGCCCTGGTGGCTACTTGCAATCCCAAAAAAAGACTGGATTCACAACACTGTTTTCCCTTCACCACTGCAGCCTTGTTATAGGCTCTTCTTCCTTTGCTGATCCAGAAGAGGATTCTTATGGTTCTAGGGAGAGCAAAGGCATTAGATTCCCCAGGGTGCTGTATTTTCTTTCTTAATGAGAGTTTGTCTGTGCAGGGGAGTAGAAAGGAATAAGAATCTCTGATCTAAGAAGTGGAGGCTGGGGCCGGAGATTTAGCTCATTGGCCCCACCGCCTGCCTTGCAAGTGCAAGGTCCTGAATTCGATTCCTGGTACCAAAAAGAAAAAGAAAAAGAAAAGCAGAAGCTGGAAGGGTTTAGGTGGATGTGTAAAGTCTGAGATGACATAAGCTGAATGCAGGGATCAGAGAAAAAGAGGCTGAAAATAAGAGGTTGGCCAAGAAACATCAGCCTCTGAAAAAACAAAAGGAAAACATTGGCACATGGGATTTTTAGCACCGACATTCCTGTTTGTGTTAATTTTTAATGCTACATTTATCCTAAGGTACGCATTTTCTGTCACATTCTAACATCCACACACTGGCGGTGTCATAAGATGGTTGATGCGCCATCATTTGGCTAGCGGTGTTTCCTTAATGTACAGATGGAAGGCCATCATGCAGTCTGGGCGAAATCTGGCGAGTGGGGTCCCTTGCCGTAAACAGTTGATTTGCATAGAAGTGTGTGAGGTAGATCTCAGCGGTTAACACAAAGCAGTTCCGTTCTTTAAGGCAGAATGCATTTGGGTTGCTGGGTTCTCTGTGTGACTTCCGGTTCAGTGGTGTTTGAGAGTCTGGAAGCCCAGTAGGTTCCTGTGGCCAAGACCCCATCAAAGCGCCTTTCCGCTGTCCGGGAAGAGCAGATCGAAGGGAGGGCGGGTGGATTCAGCCAGGTAACTGAGGATGCCCACCTACTTTTTTGCGTCAGACTTGCTCAGAGTTTTGAAATCGTGGGGGTTTTATGCGCAGTGTCATTAAGAGTAATTTAAATAATCAGCCTTACTGAGTGTAAGTCCTTGAAAATCCATCTCCTATCGCTGCACTGTTGAATTTGCAGTCAGAACCTCAGCGGGCACAACTTTGTGAACTTCACTTCTGTCTTTCCCAAGTATTTTGCAGAACCTGATTTTTTTTTTTAAATCAAGCTTAAGAACAAGACATTTGATGCTTCTATTTCTGTTGTGTACTCCATGGTTTTACCAGATTCTGAATGGTTTCTGGGTAGCAATCATTAATTCCGATTTAGGGGCTCTGTTTATAAAGTATGAAATTTGGGTTCATGGTTTCAAAGATCAAAGCAAATTATAGAGGTTACTACCTGTGCCGTGTCTGAGACAGACCTTGGACATTTGTTTGAATTTATTCTTCAAGTTTTTATGTTTGGCATTCTTCTAAGGCGTCACTATTATCATCATCTTATTTTCTGCTGTGAAAAAACATGTTTTAATTGTGCTTTCCCAAACTCTAGCAGAATCTTCCTATTTTTATTACGTATTTGCAGCTTAAAGGTCTTGCATTGCTGTCTTACAGGTATTTCTGTGAATCACAATGAACTCGTAGGAACACTCTGTATATAGAATAGTGTTTCGCCTGTGGCGTCAGGAATCCTTTCCTCAGCCTGATCCTTTTGGCCCTGTGTGTGTCCTCCTTTTATAGTTTCTCCTGGAGAGGCTTCGTGGGCTGTGCAGAAGCCAGTGTCTGTCTCCTGCCTGCAGGAGGACCATGTCATTGGACTTTGGCAGTGTGGCCCTGCAAACACAAAATGAAGATGAGGACTATGACAAAGAAGACTATGAAAGGGAGAAAGAGGTAAGTCATTCGGAAAAAAGGCCCTATAGTCCTCAATCCCTTGCAGCTTTTTTATTTGCTGATCAAAATCATGTCACCCGAGTCATTTTGAAGAGACTTACAGTTCCTTAAAACACACTCTGAGAAGCTGAAGCAGGAGGATCTTAAGTGCCCAACTGCAGGTAGCTGAGCAAGACCTTGTCTCCAAATAATTATAAAAAGACTGGGGATGTAGCAGAGACTTAGTGTTCAACCCCGGGTACTGCAAGACAAACAAAACAACAAAAATAAGTAAATAAAGCAAAACCCTAAAATTTGCTATTTGGACCTTTAAAAGCCAAAGACGGAATGCTTGTTTTGTTTTTTTAAATTTTTTTATTTTTTGAGGCAGGGTCTCACTGTGTAGTTGAGACTCACCTGGAACTCACTATGCAGTCCAGGCTGGACTCAAACTCACAGTGATCCTCCTGCCTCAGCCTCCCTAGTGCTGGGATTACAGGTGTGTGCCACCACGCCCAGCTTAGAATGCTTGTTTTTCTGAAATAAGAATAAAAAAACAATTTAGTGATGCTATCAGGTTCCACATTGGTTGAATTCTTTGAAAACTTTGGGTTGAAAAGGCAATGGCGGGCTTTGGAAGGAGAGACCTGGTCTGAGGTGCTTGGAACCTTGCCTTGGTACCCCCTGCGGGAGGCAGACAGGAAGAGAAACAGCCAGGGGAGGGGACAGAGGTGGCAGGGAGGCCCCCTGGAGGGCCCAGCCTCACAGGAGCAGGATGAGCGCGCTAAGAGCACCCACAGACATCAAGCTGGGAAGTGTGGGCAGTGAGAGGGAGGGAGCGGGTGTGTGTGTGTGTGTGGAGTAGGATTTTAACCCCACACCATGGGAAACCGGGTAGGGTTTGAAGCAGGGAAACGATGGCCGATTGGATTTCGGAAAGATCTTCTGGAATTCTGCATAATAGAGTTAAAAAGTAAATAGCGTTCAGTAGTAAATATAGCTAAAAAGGAAAGGAGTGAGAGGAGGTCATGGTGTCTACATAGGAAGTGTGTAGCAGAATTCTGGTTCTATGGTGGCTGCCCCTAAATGGGAGCAGTAATAGTGGCAGAAATAACCTTTTTTTTCAGTTTGAGTCAGGTTTCTAGAATGACTGTGATAAATGGCATCTTCTGTGCTGAGACGAGGCTTGGTCTGACCTCCTCCCTAAGATGTAAAGTAATCCTTCTCAGCAGTCAGGATGGACCGTGGATATTCACCAGGAGCGTGAGCCAGGAAAAGGGCGGGTGACCATGCCACAAGGCTGTCAGAGAAGGAGGCCGGAACTCACTCATTCTGAGCACAGATACTATTCGCTAAAGATTCCGAGGCCCTGACTTGGCTGGGAACCTCTGCCCCTGGCCTCCTGGCGGTCAGTATTTGGCATGGCAGCAGGTAGGCTGCGGGAACAGTGCCTCTCCTTCCCCTGTTGGCCACGGTCCCCGCTGCTGTCAGGGACACCTATCCTCAGGCCGCCTGCCTTGCTTCTGGGAATTTTCCACCGGGTCTCCTGAGAACACTTGAGTTTGTGACCCTGGCAGCGGTGTCTGAATTGTGAACAGGTCCCTCTCCCAGCCACCTTGAGGCAAAGACAGGTTCTTACCCCGAGAGCCTGCGGCATGAGTTCGGCACAGCCCCAGTGGCTTTGGATCATTGGCTGGGGTGGAGTCCCCGGGATTTGAGTGGGGTAATCACGGCCGTAAAGAAGAAATACTCCAACTGATGACTTTTCACTGGGGAGGCTCTAGACCCGAGCAGGGCATTGAGAGCCCTTACTGCACGTTTTACTGCGTGGTGAAAACTTTAGGCGAATCTCAATGGAGGAGGCGATTGATTCTCGATAATTAATGCTTGATAATAGGGAAAGCAGCCATTGGGGTCATCTGTTTGCTACGTTGTATTCTGGGGTACAGAAGAGGAGAAGGACCCCGAGAAGCTGCACTAAGAATGAGCACTTCCAGTGCCCTGGAAGAAAAGACGAGATGGCAATTGTGGTTGTATCCCCAGAAACTTCATGTTAATAAAAATGTTTCCACTTAAAAAGAAAATAGTCACTGCAAGAGGAAAGGTGAGATTAAGGGCAAGGAGTTTCAGATTTTCAGTAACAGACTTTAGAATTATTCTTCAAAGTCCAGCTGTATGTACACCTTGTCACTGCAAGTTAAACTAGTAAGCTGGCCCATCAAACCTCAGCTTGCTTGCCTATCCGGCAGTTTAGTTCCTCAGTCTCCCTGTCCTTATGAGAGCAAAAGAGTTCACAGCTGTGGGATATGAAAGAAAACAGCAATCCACGTGTGGTATCACACACCTGTAATCCCAGCACTCTGGGAGGCTGAGGCAGGAGGATCGCAGGTTTGAGACCAACCTGGGCAATTTAGCAAGACCATCCCTGTTTCAAAATTTAAATGAATGAATGATTGGGTATTTAGCTCAGTGTGAGGTCCTGGATTCAATCCCCATTATGTCAAAAACAAATAGAATATAAAACAAAACAAACTGGTCTTTTTGTGCCTGCCTGGTTGGTAGCCTTGGGGTTGCAGCTGGGTTGTGATGTTAGCAGTGGAATCAGATATTGCCTTCTCTACTCAGTGAATCCCTTTGTGTTCAGTGCTTCCTAGTGTGCGTGCTCTAAGCCTGACCAAGCACACCACATCTGCCTTTTGCTACGCCCTGCTAAGGGTTTGGGGGAGCTCTTTGCAAATGGCAGCATGGTCCTGATTTCGACTTTCTTATATGGATGTCTAGCTGCTAATATAACATGATTCACCAAGCTGTGTTTAGTTTTGTTGCTACGTTGCCAGTTGGGATTTTATCCACATTCAGTGAAAAACCATTATCAAATGCCAACCTTCACGCCATCCTAATTAGCAATTGTGATCTTGTCTTTGGCTATTCTATTCTATTCTTTTTTTGTTCCCTGTTGTTTGCCTTGAAGATCAGATGGAGAAAATGCATTTAATTTTGAGAAAAGGAAAGGATTTAGCAGGTAAGTGACAATATCCAGAAGACAGTTAGGCCAGGGGACTCTCAAGCCCCCAACAACCATGAATAGACCCATATTTTGCAAAAACCTTCAAGAATTTTGCATCGAAGTAAGGCACTGCAGCCATTTCCAAGTTGCTAGAACTCTTAGTGTTGCCTTGGTAAAACTTTGGCCCCTGTGGATCAGGGCATAACAGAGGTGTAAGAACACCAACTTCATAAGCCTCCCCTCTATCCCACCATCTCTCAGGCAGATGGGGAAGAGGTTAGGGTCCAGCGAGTAGGTGACCGGGGAGGTCGGGTGTCATGTCAGCACTCGCATCGCTTAGGGTCACACCTTTCGGAGCCCTCTGAGCTCACTTACTATGTTCGTTTCCACTGCACCACTGGAGAGCTACTGGTGTTGGCCTTCTTGGTACTCAGTAAGTAGAACTCATCCAGAGTTTTTTAACCAAACTTACAAAGCTGGTCCAGAAAAGAATTCAGAAGCTCTCTTACTAACCCATTCATAATGCTGCAGTGTGACTTTGCAAATGCTTTTCACCTCACCTCATCATTGTTCCTGGTGTCGCGGTTGGCTGCGGCAGAGGCTTGATGTCACTTTCTTGGTAAGAATGGCTGCAGTAAACTTCTGGGTTACTGGTCAAGCAGCAGCTTCATTGAGGACGGTTGGTATCAGGGAGCTGTCACGGTCATCCTGCGGTGTCACCAGGAGTGGCTCTGATTTTTGCCTGGTCCTGGGCAGTGAAATGACCCATGTCTTTCTGTGCATGTGTGGGTGCTGGTGACTCGGGCAGAAATACCTGGGCACCTGCGCTGCTGTGGAGCAGGTTCTGGTGATGATGAGTTTGAGAGTGGTCTGGAGGAGAAGGGTGGTGGAGTGGGAAGCAGAGAGCAGACAGAAAGCTGCGCCTGGTGCTGCTGCCTTGGTCCCTGGTGGTTTAGCTGTTGCTGCCCCTCTAGTAGCACAGTAGCTCCCCGGCTCCACCACAGACTTCTCCCCTTCCTGCCTGCCTCGCTTGGTGTCACCCTGGAAACCCTTTGTATCTTGTTCCCACTAGAGGGGGTTGTAAAGCTGCATTTATTTGCATTCCATATTATTTGACTTAATCAGTTGAATGTTTTTGTTCCCCAAGAAAATGCAAGAAATGAATGGTCATGTCTTAATATATTTTTTTCTGATGTTTTTCTTTAGCCCTTTCTAATGCTTTGTCTGGATTGTGTCTTGTGGGGTTTTCCCCATACTATCCAGTGTTTTGTTGTTGTTTTCTTTCACGGACTGTCCCTTTTTCCTTTTCTTTTTTGTTTCTGTATTCTGAACATAGTATAATTCATAAATTAAAGGTGTAGCTGCCAAGTTATTGCGGCCCTTTATCCATCCCAAATTGTACTTCTGCAAGTAGGTTTTGTCACGCCTGGCCTGAATGAGATCCTGTGGGCAAATATCCAGCCCCAGCAGGTCATGACAATAGGGCCATACTGCTCTCAGCAGCAACACAGATGGCCATGGAGAAACTGCAGTGGCGTGATAGGCTATCCCTCAGAGCTAGCGAGTCCAGTGTTGTAAGCACACCTGTGCTGACCGTTCTTGAGCCTTCAGTCAAAACCCTTTCAGCCCAGACCCCTTAGCCTTCTTAGTACCTGTATAAACCTAGTTTCCATCCTAGTTGGCTGCTGAAATCTGTCCCTAATTTCAGTCTCTGTTCACACCTGGACAGTAATAACATTTTTTCTCACATAAAGCCTGTAACCTCCTGGCCTCTCACATGCTGTTTATAACAGGTTTAAAATTTGTTCTTTGGTTAACATAGATTCTGCTTGGGCCAGGGATTTAGCTCAGTGGTTCCGCCACCTGCCTCGCAAGTACAAGGTCCCGAGTTCAATCCCTAGTACCAAAAAAAAAAAAGGTTCTGCTTGGTAGGTGTCCATGAAGGCATTATGCTCACCAGGTAGGCCCACCCCCCACCCCAGTGCCGGGGATCCAACTCAGCCTCTGAGCCTCCTCCTGCCCAGGTAGCCTGTTGTACAGGAAGATGAATGTTGGCTACTCCAGTTGCTGCTTTTCTCTGGGGAAGAAGTTGTTTTGTGTGGTTTTAATCTGAGAACACTTGTTTTGCTCAGTCCTGAGGGAATTTCCGGCTCCCAAGTCAGGCTGTTTAGTTGATTTAAATTGAAAACCTTAACAAAGGGTTTACCTGCCGTCTGTCGTGTTCATTCTTCCCTGAACATAAGGACACGAAAATCTTTTGCTGGTGAAGTCTTTTTTTTTTTTCGTTTAAGTTAAAGGTTGTTTTTAGGAAAGAAACATAGCAAAGGGAGAGAAATTTATATATTTATTTATTGGTATATGTTTGCAATACATTATGATTATATTAGATCAAAGGGTCCTTTCCAGGGAGAGGAGGTCATAGACTATTTCAGAATGTAGTTCAGAAGAAGCCTTCACAGCGGCACATTCTCTTTTTTCTCGGTAGCATCTCTGAAATGATTAAATTCAGCCGATAGACGATAGTGTCCCACTCAGAAGCTGCTGTGGTAATTGCAGTGAAAAAACAATCTGTTGAGTTAGAAATTTATGAGTGGGGTTAAATCTTGTCACTCACAGGGATTATCATTTTTTGTCCTTGAATTCGTGTTTGGAAGTTGCTGTATCTTTAATGAAGCAAATTTATAGTTTCTAAAAGTCTCTGTTTGGTAGCATGCATGGGCCGGTATGGCAATTTTGTGTTTTGTGGTGCAAGGTGAAATAACCGAGAGCAAAACCCACTGGACAGCAGGGATGGGAGGAGCCACTTTCACCGGGAAATGGAAATGTGGGCGTGGGAATTGGTTCCTGAATGGCCTTTTGTGGGGGGGGGGCTTTGCCTCCTTCAGCGCCTCTCTGCCTTGAAGTTAGGGAAGTCAAGGAGTAATAACACCCAGCCATGCCACAGAACTTGATAGAGACATTTTCTGAAGGTGAACAAAACTTTAAAATTTTTATGTGTATGTAAAATATGCAACTCAAATACCATCAGGATAGATTTTGTTAGTTGAGAATTTTACCTATGGATACAGAAGCATTTTGATAACTACTCATGCTTAAATTAATTTTCTTCCATGGAAGCCAGTTTTATTACTTTTGTGATATCAGAGATCAAGCTGTAGTAACGGCCTCACTGTTAGGTAGGCTTTTCTGTCAGTGTGAGGGGGGAAATGTACAGTTCTGCTGTCCCTGTCAAAGCCCCCCTGGATTATAAGGCTGTGTGTACTCGAACCTCACTGAAGGGTTAGAAGAAAATATTCTTGCCATCCAGGAGTCCTTGCTTCAAGTAAGTAAAGAAGACACCTTTTGTTGTTATTTTCCCCCATGATACAGGTGTGGGGTGGTGTTTTCCCTTAAGCAGTGATGTGTAATCAGAACAGGTTGCACTATTAAAAACACCTCATAGATATTTTTCCCCCAGTGCATTTTGTGTTTGTAAAATGGTTTTGCTATTTGAAGCAAGCAACGTACTTAGATGCTGATGTGTTCTGTTTTTTTTTTTAGCGGTGTAAGTGTGTGCATCTGCACATGCGCGCTTCTTGTCCCTTGTATTTTGGGTCATCTCTGATACTGCTAATTCTCAAAGTTAGTTTTGATTAGCCTGCATAAGCAGGTAGGCAGTAAATCAAGGTTTCTTTGTTCACATTGTATCAAGCATACTTCAAGGTGAAAATCACTTTTCCTTTGAAATCGAATCTTTCTTTTGTTGCATTTAAAATACCAGGTGGACTAAGAAAATCTTTTTCTTTTTTTGTTTTAAATCCAGGAATATCAGGAATATCTATGGCAGTGAAAGAATATCTACTTTCCGCCCAAGTTCATTGCCATTCCCGAGTTGTGTTCACAGCTAATGATTTAGGGCATCCTTTTCAGGGCTTTCTTAGAATGTGTTTATCTTTTACCATATATTTTATTTAAGAAAGTTTTAAAAATTCTAAACACAAAACGCAGATGTGTGCTATATTGCCATTCCATTTTGTTTATACCAGTGACAGAGAAAGTGGAAAGCAAGAACAAAAACCCTAACTTGCCCCAGAACAGGAGCGTCCCATTTTCCCTCAGCAGGTTCACGGCACATTTGCTATCTTTAAATTTCACTCACCGCACGGTTTTATGGCAGTGATCTGTACCTTCTGGAGGGACTTAGTCAACCTGGTAATTAAACTGGTGTTTAGTTTCTTTCTTGGTACAGGGCTGAGGATCGAACCCAGGGCCTCGCACTTGCTGAATAAGTGCTCTACCATGGAGCTGCACCCCAGCCCCAGGCTTAGTTCTTAAGGAGGAGTCATTTATATCTGGCAGCAGAATATTTGAATCTTCTGCTTATGTTTTAAGACAGGATATTGGGCCCTGAAGAAAGATAGTTGCTGACACTGAAATTCAACAGCTTTATCTTTTATCACATTTGTTTTGAAACTTTGATATATTTTGTCTGCTTAGTTTATATAGGCAGGATGCTAGAAGTGTGATTTTTCTGGAATAAAGTAGAGCGAATTGGAGTTGTTTTCTGTGCGTTTTACCAGCTGCTTTTGTGAGTGCCCTGCAGCACGCTGTATTAGGGCAGAGTATTGTGTGTCTTCTCATCGCTGGAATTAGATGTCTGTCTGCTAATTGGTCATTCCCCGGGGGTTTCTGTCTCCAGGCCACCTGCCGGCCATTCTCCACACCTGGCAAAGTACAGCTGCCACCCAGGTCCCAGAGGTCGGGTTACTGCTAACACAGGACCCCAAGACTCCAGTCCACCCCCAACCGCAGAACTCAGTGATCCTGCCGCGCTGATCCCTCGCTGTATTTCCATACAGCAGTGTTTTCAGTTCTCTTGTAATCTATGTATATTTAAGCCCGAGACTTTGGCAGAAAAAGGTGAAGTCCTGAAGTTAGCGGGATATCGTGTCTTCGTTACCCTCTCCTTAAGTGAAAGGATGAGCACAGTGCATATGGGATTTAAGAGCCGAGCGAAGGGGCGGGAGGAAGGCACACCCTCCTCGCAGGGCGGGGCTCAGGTGCTGACCGGCTCTCCTGCATCAGTTGCAGCAGCTGCTCACGGACCTTCCTCACGACATGCTGGACGATGACGACCTCTCCTCCCCCGAGCACCACTCCCCGGACTGCAGCGAGGACTGTCCGGAGGGACGGTGAGGACTCGCGTCACTTTCCCTGATGTGTTGCATTCCCTAAGGCTTTTTCTTTTCATTCTCAGCAGGTCATAATCATGTTCATGATTATAAAATTGCACACTGATTCTTAAATTTGTGGGTGAACGTTTCAGGGAAAAGCAACAAATGGTAAACAATAAACATTGGACTCTTGGAGTTCTTTTTTGTGTTTTCTCTGTTCGAGTAAATGGTAAGCTTCAAATCTAAATTACTGATTTTTTTTCTCTCTCTCAAGATCACATCCTTCTGAGCAGTTGGAGGTGACCTGGAATCCGCACCAAGTTCTGCCCAGATCTCCAAGCGCAAATGTAAGTATCCAGCGTGGCCCCATGGCTTTCATTGGGTGGGGATTTTGCTTGTGTTTTGCCCTTGTGATCTGTCGGGACTAATGAAATTCAGGGTTATGTTGGAGACGCATGCGGCAATGGCTGGGAAGAAAATCGAAGTCAAGCTGAAGACCGACATCCTGGGTACCACCCGGAAGAAGGTGGAGATGAAGGCGGAAGTGGTTATAGTCCTCCAGGCAGATGCCAACAGACCGAGCTGTATCACCTGCCTGAGAACTTCAGACCTTATACGAGTGGTCAGAAGCAGGAATTCAATACCCAGCCGGCCAACGTAATTACATTTTCAGATTCCCCACGGAACCATTTTCAGGTATTGTTAAGAATTTAACTTTCTTTCTTTCTTTTTTTTTTTTTTGGTACCAGGGATTGAACTCGAGTTCTTGCACTTGCAAGGCAGGCAGCAGAACCACTGAGCTAAATCCCCGGCCCAAGAATTTAACTTTCAAAAGAAATTGTGTGTGTGTGTGTGTGTCCATTTGTGTGACATATATGAATGCTTCAGAAATGTATGAGAGTGCAATGGTAAGATGATTTGTTGTTTTTTTTTTTGTTTTGTTTTTTTGTTTTTTGAGACAGGGTCTCACTATGTAGTTGAGACTTAACCTGGAACTCACTATGTAGCCCAGGCTGGTCTCGAACTCACAGAGATCCTCCTGCCTCAGCCTCCTTAGTGCTGGGATTATAGGTATGTGCCACCATGCCCAGCTTAAGAAGTTGAGACTTCCTGGAACTCACTATGTAGCCCAGGCTGGTCTCGAACTCACAGAGATCCTCCTGCCTCAGCCTCCTTAGTGCTGGGATTATAGGTATGTGCCACCATGCCCAGCTTAAGATGATTTGTTTTTACTACAAAAATTTCTAAAAGTGCACTTTTTCAGATTCATGCTGAATCAGTCATGCCATTTTCTGTGTATGATTGAAAGCGATTTTGACCAAAAGTCAAAAGTTTAAAATAGAAGTTTTGGAAACAGTTATTTCAGCATTAGAAGTTAAGTCTGCCAGAGAATGACTGTCTTCATTTATGTTGCTCCTGGCTTCTGCCAGTTCCCTGTGCTTCAGTGAGAAACACTGTCTAGGCATCTTGATATAGTTTTAAAAACAGTAATTTTATGTAGACCACAGCTTTTAGTTGCCTCAGTTTTCTTAGCACTCATAATAAATTTGAGGTCAGACATTTCAGAGTTGATGCCTCTTTTGTATGTTGTGACAGCAGCAGGCAGGATGGATGTTAAGGAGAAAGCTTGGATCTACCTAAGGACACCTAAGGATAGACCTAGTTGCTTCTTAGCATTCTCAGACTTGCTCGGTGAGAACACATGCCTCATTTTGCTGATTGCTATTCTGGGTCATTCAGTGACAGGGTGATTTGGTGATTTTTTTTGTGTGTGGGGGGGTCCATTCAAGGAGGTTATTGTCTCTCAATTCTATCTAGAGAATGTTATTCATTCCACAAGTTATTGAATACTTAGTACAGCTGAGACATTGTATCACATGTTACTGTTGAGCACGTGCATTTTTATGTTCCCAAGATGTTGTCATCCTCTCCATTGTTGTAATAAAATACTTACATGGAATTTCATTCTTTTTTTGCCCCCATTGGCTTTTTTTTTTTTTTTGGTACTAGGGATTGAACTAGGGTTCTTGAGCTTGTGAGGCAGGCGACCGAACCACTGAGCTAAATCCCCGGCCCCTTCCCCATTGGATTTCTTAAGATTTACTTATGAGATTGGCTCCATTATGTGTGCAAAACTACAGTGAAGGAATTAACAGTGTTAAGTAACAATAAATACTATTTTGAGCAAAGATGTCTATTAAAATTGTAATTGTATCACAGTTAGCTTCTGTAGCAAAAAAGGTGGCTAATTTTAATAATTTTGGAAGAGAAGGCCAAATCCTAATTGTCATTTTCATTTGTCATATTATAATAGCAGTTTGGTTCAGCACAAGGTCCCAGTGGTCAAGCTTTGGAGCCATATAAAGTGACATATAAACCCTACCAACCTCCTGTTCAGAATAGTGGCTCGCCAAGCCAGGAGATAGCACGAAGTGACACATTTGAAGCCCTGCAGCAACAGTTTTTAGGAGCTAATGAAAGTGAGTATCGTGTTTATATTTATTTTAGAACATAATGGGGAAGTTTTGAACACAGTGGATATTTATATGCATGGTCAAGAATTATTATTTTTAAATAGGATAATAGAATCATGGTTGACGTTCCAAAGAGCCCTTATCTTTAGAGATACAGACATAGACTGGTGTATTTATGAATAAACTGATAAGAGGTCTAGACTTTACTTAAAAAGAGTTGTTGGAAATAAATAAGTGTTGGGCGGGAATACTGAAGCGAAACTGGCCCTGGACTCATAATTGTTGGTGCTGGGAGATGAGTTCGTGGGGATTTATGTGTTATTCTCACATTTGACGTTTTCCATCAGAAAAGAAAGTCAAAACAAAATCCTTGTAACTACTATATGTACCGTAGTCATCCTGGTTTATGAAGACTTTTCGAGCTTTTCATCTGAAGCCCACTGTGTAAACTGAAGGGTAGTTTTCTCGTCAGTTCAAATTTTTCATTTTTTAAAAATGAAATTTGATAAATCAGCCAATCTTGTTCTCATTTTTCTTTTGAATTTTACAGTTTTAGTGTAATAAAATACTCAGAATTTGACCCAGATGTCTCCCTAGGTGTTTTTTATTTTAATTTTTGGTATAATGTATGTTTACATGACAGTAAGAAAAGTGCTTGTTTCTAGTAGAGAATTTTGGGTGGAATGCTTTGGTATCAAAAAAAAAAAAAAATCAAAACTTGGATAGCGATTATCCAGAGCTAGTGTTTTTGTGCATCTAGCTTTTATTGTCATCCCTCTGGAGTATTAAATAACTCCTAATAACTGCATGTTGAAGAGCCAGCGTGGTTCTAGATTCTGGAATATGATTGCAGGGTGTGAGTGTGAGTGTGTGATTTTCTTTCTTCAGTTCGTAGGAAAAAATGAAACTGCATATGCTGGGTTACCTGGGCTATGGCAAAGAGAAAATTTGACTTCTCTGCCATGAGTTCGTAGGGCACAGAGTAGCTGTGGGTGAGGCCTCAAACTCATGTTCCTCGGAGGAGTTGGCCTCTCTTTGTTCATAAGCTTTTGTGGAATGAGGAGGTGGCCAGTGTGTGTGGCATAACTGGTTTTAGGTCGCGTCAGTGTCACAGCACAGCCTGGCATCCCTCCGTACCCCGTACTGAGTTACGTTTCCACCTCCTGTTCCTTCTGTGTGTCTGATTTCTCATCTCCTTCCTGACAGTCTGCATTTTATCAAGTTGATTCTTTTTTTTGAAGGTGATTACACATTTGTCTAAATTTGACATTTGGAAGTTAAATGATTTAGCGGTAGTGCCAAATTTGGTGATTACAGCTTCTTAGCAAGAGTAATTTAAAAAAAATGAGTTTGAAGAGAGGTGGAGCTTGAGACTGTTTATTTCTGGGCTAGCCCTGCTGGAAGGCCTGAGAGGAGTTTGACCTGTGAAGAAGTTTTCAGTCTTTGGGTTTTTTGATTTAACCATTTGTCTGTTCAAAAGAGGACTGAATTATTATGTTAGCAAGTAGCTAAAACTTCCTAATTACATCTCTCTGTAAGCTGACAGGAATATTAGCCTAGTAACAAAATGAAGAATATTGATCATTATGTAGTTGAAATATTCTTCTCTTCCAATTGTTATGACTTTGTTTATGAAAGGAGACTCCAAAATTCTTTATTGCTGTACTCATGAGTTAATAGCAGCAGGTGTGTGTCAATTTCAATGTGAGTACAATGTATTTCCCGCTCGATAAAGATGAAATATTTTGGGAAGGGTATCTAGACATTTTCTTTAAAATGTTGTTAGAGAAGCTGATGTGCTTTCTTGTTTTTAATTTTACGAGACTATATTGTTCTATTTCATTGTAGTTATTATATACTGATTTTCATTTGACTACATTGGTAGAGTTTTCATCTTATAATAAACCAGTGATTTTCACACAGTCATGGCAATGACCCATAGTAAGAAGTTCATTTTTTGGTGTTGTGTTACAGTCTACAATATAAATCAATGTATATAAGTATATTACTCAGGTTTCCTGGTGCTGGTACAAAATGCCTGACACCTGCAACGTAAAAAAGGTGAGTTTAGTTTGCTTCACAGTTACGGGGACTTCAGTGTGTGGTCCCAGAGCAGGAACATCTCACAGTGAAAGGGTGTGGTGGAGCAAAACTGCTCAACTCAGGGCATCCAGGAAGCAGAGTGAGGGAACAATGCCTGAGAGGAAGGGGCCAGACAAGGACCCAAAATTCCTGCTCATGATCCACCCAGAGTGGGCTTTACTAATCCTCGTGGGCTCTCAAGACAAGTTGATAGCCTAGCGGTCACAATAAATGCAACAAATCTTTCACAAAATACTTTTTCTTAGTACATGATGTACTCTGCTATGTTCTGTTTTGTTCTCTCTTCATTTTTAAAATTTTGTAGTCTACTCAACTGATTTCATGACCCCTCTAAGATTTTTTTTTTGGTACTGGGGATTGAATTTGGGCCCTTGCGCTTGCAAGGCAGGCAGGAGAACCACTGAGCCAAATCCCCGGCCCCTTCAAGATGTTATATATCCACAGTTTGAAAAGCTGTCCTAAATGACCACACGTTTATGTTTTGATTTAATAAGTTATCTTTAATTCTGAAGCAGATTGTGCGGAGAATGTGCAGATTGTTCAGCTTCGGGTTCTTAACAAAGCAAAAGAGAGACAGCTGGACAACTTAGCTGAAAAGTTAAATGAAAGTGAACGTCAAATCCGGTACCTGAACCACCAGCTTCTGATAATCAAAGGTAAGATTGTAAGTACCGGGTACTGCGATTTATGAACTACAGCTAATCTAGGCATCTTGTTCCTCATAACCTCATTCTGCCTTTTCATGTTTTACCTTTCCATGTGTTCCATTCCCAGTAACCTCACTTTCCTTGGTCTGAGGCTCGGAGTGAGTCAGACAGACCAGAACAGAAACCTGGGACTTGTGAGTCCTCATCCTCCGGAATGTACTATTTCACAGTCCCAGTCTTATTTCGTGTCTTCTTTCCCTTCATTTCACGCCCTCCTCTTCTGTCTTGCGCTGATTGAATCAACGTCCATTATTTATTGGGGCTGACTACAACCTGTCCCCAAGCTGCTGACCTTGGATGAGGTGCCCCCTTCCCAGCATGCCTTGTGTAGTCTGCAGTGCAGTGCTGTCTGAGCCTGCAGATGAACACATGCATGTGGGGCCTGGAGGGCGCCTGGAACCCGCTTAGGTGTTGCCAAGGGGAAAATGTGGCCACCACAGCGTAATGACACAGGCAAAGGGCTGGTGTGAATGACAGCTGCTTTCTCTAACTCTCTAGTTTTGGTCAGTGTCTGCCTTTGATTTGTGGAACAGTTATGTGACCAAATTCCAGCTTATTTCAAATTAAATCAATAGCAAAAAGCTTTTTCTGTAATGCTCCTTAAAATTGATTTTGAGAGAGCTTGTGAGCTGTCATAGCCAAGTTTGTGGGAAGAATTTAAGATTATAGGAATTAAAGAGTTCATGGAAATATATGTAGGAAGTGATTAGTTCTCAGATATATATTTTGATTAGCAAGGATTTGTTCTATCTACATAGCTTCTCAGTTAAACAAATGCTAAAATCTTGAGGAAATCTTTTGGCCCCAACAGAAATACAGTAAAAATTTTAAAGGCATTGATACTGGTTCTCTAAAGTATTTTTTTAGTCATTTGAGTATTTTTTTAATCATTTTTTTCTGGTTTTCTCTAAATCAACTAAAGTTTTTTGTGAAAGGAATTTAATTCAACACCTGTGTATGATACAGATTTGATAGGGGCTGTGGCAGTTACAGTCCCTGTATAAAAACATTTTTAATGCCCTAGATGAGAAAGACGGTTTGACCCTCAGCCTTCGAGAATCACAGAAGCTCTTTCAGAATGGGAAAGAAAGGGAGATACAGCTTGAAGCACAAATAACAGCACTGGAGACCCAAATACAAGCATTAAAAGTCAATGAAGAAAAGGTAAGTGTTTCAGGGTTATTTATGGTAAAAAGTAAAGTGACAATTTTGTTTCCTTCATGAAACTCTTAGAAGAGCAGGACTGTTCAGAAGTTTGTAAGTTCCTCTACCTCACGCTCATTTCTTGTCTTACATTAGAGGGCAGTCATCTGTCGACATCCTGAGGAGGCCTGCACTCCCATCTTCCCCTTCTCCCAGAACTGAGTTCTGTTGATGACTCTTCATTTCCTCAGGTTCTTATCCTTTTGTTGTCAAACTCTCTTGTCTCCAGACTTATGCCTTCCACAGATTTTATGGCTACCTGGGTAATATTTCTAGAACACCAATTTTGTTGTTTCCCTTGCTTAAAGCCTTTCAGTGACCCCACTTTACCTGTGGGGGAAAATGTGGTATCAAGATGGCCACTGGAACCTTGATTATTCCCTTTCCACGCTCACACTCTGCCAGCTGTAGTTTTTAATCTACACATGCAGGTCGGCTCCTCTCTGGAATACCCTTTCCACAGCTCACTGCCATCCCATTAAGCAGCCTCTCCTCACAGGTTTTCTTTTTCTAAGTCTCTGCTTTCTTCCTCAAGCCAGGAGTTCGATCTGTTCTGATAGACTGAGGACACTGGAAGTGTCTCTGTACCTACCACCGAGGCCAGCACCTGGCATGTGCTTGGTGGGCAGTGTGTGTTGAGTGGGTGTGTGGTTCAAAATCGACATACCGTGTGTGTGTGTGTGTGTGTGTGTGTGTGTGTGTTTAGTGTACATTTTCTGTTCCTTCTCTGATACTATCAGTTGTGTCTGTAGCTTTACGGTGTGTTTTGACATTGGTGAGAACAAGGACTACCCTTAATATTAAAAGTTTTGCAACTTTTTCTCATTATCTTGTCTGGATCTTGCAAATTGACTTCTCATGTTTTGATAAAGTCTTGGAATTTTGATTAGCAAGGCATTCTATTTTATCATTTCATAAATGAGTTAGAGCAGATTTCTTACCCACAAGCACAAGTCCAGTTTAAGGAAGCACCAGAATCCACATTTCCTGGCCAAATATTCCTTTCAGGGTCTTTATCCTGGGAAGCTAGTGGAAGAGCTTAACCATTTGGGGAACTGTTCTTTAGGCTTGCTTTGTAAAGTGGCAACACACTCTTTGGTTGATAGACTAGATAGCTGTTGAGTTTTGGAATAAGTTTCAAGTTTGCTTACCTACCTGTGGTAGGCAGTCAGTCCTCTCTGCAGTTCTGGTCACAAACCGAACCGGACAAGAACTGACTCATTTCCCCATAAGGTCAACATTGAGCCTAGCTGTCGAATTCGATTTAGTTCTCATCCGGCTCGGTTTGTGACCAGAACTGTGGAAAGATTCAAGTTTGTAACCTGGGGCTCCCTATATGTAGCGCCCTGTGCCTGGCAGGAAGTATCTTGTTAGTATTGAGTGAGCAAGCGAGTGAGAAAACGTCGTGGGGCCTCTGGAATATGAGGAACAACAGCTGTCACTTGGAATTTAGATTTTTGTATATGACGTGGGTCACTTTTAACTTTTTGGAATTGACAGACTTACTAGATTAAAACGTGAAATTGTCTTTCTACAGTAAAAAGCTATAACTGTATAATCTTACAGAAGTTAGAAATTGCATTCATTTAAAAAATAGAATAGCATAAACTAAAGGCAGTAGAGTCACCAAGTCTACGTAGTTTCCTGCTGTGGCTGTAACAGATCACTACAAATTTAGTGTCTTGAAGCAATTCCAGCTGATCTCAGTTCTGGTGGTCAAAAGTCTGACAGGGATCTTTCTTACTGGCCTAAAATCTTGGTGTCATCAGGGTGGCCTTGCATTCTGGGCTCCGGGAAGAGCCCATTTTCTTGCTTTTTTGAACATCTAGAGGTTGCCTGCATCATTGTCCCTTTCCATTGTGTCTCCTTGATTCTGGCCTCTCTGCCTCAGTTGTCCTCACTCGTAGACCCTTGTGGTTATGCTAGACCCGCCTGGATAATCCAGGATAGTCTGTTGCTCTCTCTCTCTCTTATTTTTTGTGGTACTGGGGATTGACAGGGCTTTTGCATTGTTACATCTCAGCCCTTTTTTTAAAAAAAATTATTTTGAGGCAGGGACTCACTGAATTACTGTTACCCCAACTGGGATCAAAACTCTGAGCCTTAGTCTCCCAAAGTGCTGGAATTTACAGACATGTGCCACCATGCCTGGATAATCTTATTTTAAGATCATCTGATTAGTAACTTGAATTCCATCTGCAACTTTTTATTTTGCCTTGTAACAATATATTCATGGATTTGGGGGATTAGGGAACTCTAGGGACCATTGTTTCACCTCCAGTACCAACTGTGTTCTCAGACCTTTATTTTCAGTGGGGCATGGCCAACCGAGAATGCCTGTGGGCCTGGCCTCTTCCTGAGGGCAGGCTAAGGCAGGAGGATCGCTTGAGTCCAGGAGTTCAAAGCAACATAGTGAGATCCTGTCTCAAGAAACAAACAAAACCCAGAATACTTTGTTTTTAGCAAATGACCATTGGCAGGTTTCATCAGTCTTTCAAGGACCCCTTCTTTCTTCTTATTAAAGCGTGGTTGAGTTTTAAAGCCTGGGTCAAGCACAGAGTTAAGATCCTGTCAACACGGATATTCTGTGTGTGTTCTCCAGCTGATCAAGAAGTCCCGGACAACCGAAATGGCTCTGGAGAGCTTGAAGCAGCAACTGTTGGAACTTCGTCACTCTGAGTCACTCCAGCGAGCCAGAGAACAGCATGAGAGCATTGTCATGGGGCTCACAAAGAAGTACGAGGAGCAGGTGTTGTCTTTACAGGAGAATCTGGATGCTACAGTCGCTGCTCTTAAGGAACAGGTTGGGATGATCTCAAATGAGCAACTGTTATCAACAAGAAAAGCTGTTGATGTTTTGTGGTTATTCACTTGGAAATCTTGGAGGTTTTTAGTAGGTATTAAATTGTAAGTGAAACTTCAAAGGCAGTGATTTTTGAACTTCTGACTGTCCTGAAGGCATAAATTTGGAAACCCTTCTTTTTGTAGGACTGGTCAGTACTTCCTCCAGTCTCCCATTACTGGCCCATTATTTGCAGGGTATTTATGCATATTGTCCTAGAATAGATCCTGAATGAAAGGGGTGAGTGTGCTGGGGGCTGGCCAGAGCCCGAGAGGTGGCCTGGGGTCTTTAAACCCCTAGCGAGCCTTCCATGGGCCTCCCAGCATCTGGGAATTCATCTGTCAGTAAGGACTGCTGGGAAATGGCTTTTGGGAGGAGAGTACATTTTGAGAACACAGGTTGAGAATTCCCAATGTGCAAATCTGAAGTCTAGAATGCTCCATGTGGCTGACGTGGCACCTCAGTGGAAAATTATACCTCCAACCCTTGTGACAGGTCACAGTTGAAATTAGTGTGCGCTAAAGTATTGTATAAAATGACCTCTGGGTTCAGTGTCTGGAAGGTGGCTGTGAACAGAAGTGAATTTCGTATGTAGGCTTGGGTCCCCTGCTCAGGATACCTCATGATGTTTACACAGACATTCTAAAATTGGAATATTTTGGGTAAAAGATACTAAACCAGCAGTGTTGTAGGGGAAATCTGATCTAAACTCAATTGAGATTTGAAATTTGAGCATATCTTAGTTCCTTATTTTTATCTAGAAAGGAAAAAAATAAGCTGAGATTGAATTAGCTAGTGGGTTTAAATGAAAACCTAGGTAGTCATTTAAATGAATAAAATTTCAGAATTCATTTTCCCTAATGTAATTTTGGAGTTAATATACCCCAAGGGTAAGGGACAGAATAGGATATGAGTTACAGAAAACCCTACCAGTCCCTGGCATTCATCGTGATTCGGATTGTTATTTTTCACTTACACAGCTGACTCTTAATTTTCCGTGTTTCTAGGTAGAGCCATGTAAGATTACATTACTGGCAATAATAATTGTGTATCTACCATTTTATTTATATGTGTGTGTGTGTGTCTTTAAAAGTTTTTATAGGTTTATTTTTACTATATAGAAAAATATTGCATATTTGATCATTGTGAGGTACATATAGGGATGGGAAGAGATGAACACTAGAAAATTATAGCAAAGTCTACAGATTATTTAAACACATAGAATTTGAGATGTACTTTTATTTTTATTTTATTTTTTGAAATATTGTCTAAGTACATGCTTATTTCTATTTGTTTTGAGCAAACATAGGGTGGTGCTGTAGAGTTAAAGTGGTGGGCTGTTCCTTGGATGGGTGGAAGGGTGGGCATGTGGATTACCTGGAGAGCTGCCTGTTCTCTGCTGCCCGTGACACAGTTCCACTGGGGCCAGGCTGGAAGGAATTTCTGGTGTCCAAGCCCCTGTATTTTTTTTTTTTTTTCTGGTACCGAGGAT